TGTTTTATTACACCTTTTGCAGACTCCTCAGCAATGCAGAAAGCTGTGTTAGTCCACAGATGCCTCAACTACAGCACATGACTGCAGGGATCCACTGAATCACTTGACAACAACTCATTAAAAAGGAGGGATGGGCAAAGCATTCGATTCAGATTTGGCCTGATTCCGGGGACAGTGATTTGATCGCCAATTCAGATCACTGCTCCAATTCAGCCAAATCTGAAACTGAAGATCTGATTACAATTCAGAGAATCAGCGATTCAGCCATAGACAGTTTCATGTTTTTCCTACATACTTCAAGGTACCAGGTGCAGCTTGTGAATGCTGCAATGCTGGCGCAGATGGAGTGTCCCACAGGAGCATGGGGGGAGGGGGAGAAGGGTCCCCCGCATGCTGGGCAGCAAACCTGGAAGTGGACCAGAACTACTTCTGGTCCACTTCCAGGTCAATCACCAAGCGCCCATGCCCTCCCCTCTCCCCAGGCCCCACTGGCTCAGCGATCAGCCGCGGGGGGACCCCTGTGCTCCCCCAGACCCAGGAGGCACCAGGCGCCAAGCCAGGGGGCGGGGGAGTTCATAGATTTTAGGGTTGGAAGAGACCTATTAGATCATCAAGTCCAACCCCCTGCCCTTGGCAGGAAAGAGTGCTGGGGTCAGATGACCCCAGCCAGGTGTTTGTCCAATCTCCTCTTAAATACCTCCCAAGGAAGGGGACAGCACCACTTCCCTTGGAAGCATGTTCCATATTTTGGCAACCCTCACTGTCAAGAATTTTTTCCTGATGTCCAGTCTAAATTTGCTCTCCTTCAGTTTGTGCCCACTGTTTCTAGTTACCCCAATGGATGCTTTGGTAAACATCATATCCCCTATTTCCTGCTGTCCCCCCCCGGATGAGTTTGTAGACTACAAGATCACCTGTCAGCCTTCTCTTGTGGAGGCTGAAGAGATTCAGGTCCTTCAATCGGTCCTGGTAGGATTTTTTCTGTGGGCCTTTAGCCAGATAGGTGGCCCTCCTCTAAACCCTTTCCAGGTTATCTACGTCCCTCCTGAAGTGTGGCACCCAAAACTGGACACAGTACTCCAGCTGTGGCCTGACCAATGCCGCATAGAGGGGAAGTATCACCTCCCTAGACCTCTTTGTGATACACCTACTTATGCAAGGAAGAGTGCTGTTAGCTTATTACCTCATCACACTGGTGACTCATGTTCATTTTGGAGTCAACTACAACTCCAAGATCCCTTTCCACAGTTGTGCTACTTAGAATGGTACCTCCCAGGCTACAGGAGAGTTGATGATTCTTCCTCCCTAGCTGCAGCACATGGCACTTATCTTTGTTAAACCGCTCTGTGGCGTGCCCAGAATTGGAACGGAAGTACTTCTGCTCCATTTCCGGGTCCGCCTCATCCGCCCCACCATCTCAGCATTCAAGAGCCATGCCTGGCACCTCAAGGCATGTAGAAAAAACATATCAAGCTGTATCTATGGTCAAATCACTGAATCTCTCCGAATCAATTTGGAGGCTTCCAATTTGGAGAGATTATAGCGTCCTCCGATTTGATTTGGATTCAGAAATTTGGCTGCCGAATTGGGCCGAATCCCCTCCTAATCGAATTAGCGACTGAAGCTTTGCACAGCCCTGTTAAAAAGGGGATACATGATGAACCCCTAGCCCATACAGTAGGGGCAGCCAAGTGGATGGAAGGCAGCCAGGAGCTGGAGCCAGAGGCCCCAAATGCTGGGGCAGGAGTTGCTCAGCTGAAAATTCCTCCTGGCCAGGAGTGGCCCAGTAAGATCAGGAGGAAGAGCTGCCATCAGAGGTGAGGCAGCCAAGTGCACTGGGAGGAGCCCTGCTGGAAGCTATGAGTGTTGGCTAGGGTCAGGCCAGTGGGCATGGGCTGTCCCGGGCAGGGCTTGGTCCCATGAGGAGTGCCACGAGGTGCAGCTGCAGACCACACAACCCAGGCAAGATCTGCTGCACGTGCCCCCTTCCCCCTCCTTGTTCCCCTCATCCCTGGCCAGCTTCCAGGACCCAGCACCCAGGCAGCCTCTTTTCTCACTCCCCCTCACACACACAGCTCCCCACAAGGCAGGGGACACTCAGTGCCCCACCATCCTGGCTTCACCTGCCTGTCTGGCTCCTGAACACCATTCCCTACCCACCCATGGCCCCATCCCACATAAGGAGTTTTGGTGAGTTGTTGCAGCGGGGGTGGGGGGCAAAGGTGTGCTGACTCAGCCCATGACAACCCATGAAAACTCCCTATGTGGCCCCAAATAAGTGCCCACCGCACCATACAGTCATGCTACTCACAACAATGGATCTTTCATGTTCCTGTAAGCTGCCACAGAATACACACCGCAGCGTAACATTATGCAAGTCTGCCATTCACAACAGACTTTAGTCTGCTGTCAGCTTTGTGTATCAGCAGACATTCCAAGGAACTGATGTTTGCAGGTAATGGTAAGCCCAAAATTTCTCTCCTCTGTGCATGTGCCAGATCAGTCACTCACATTATTAAAATGCTGCACCAGGCAACACAGCATGGGGAGAAGAGGAGCAGCCCTCAGTGGTGAAAGAACAGGTTAGGGACTATTTAGAAAAGCTGGACACATACAAACCCGTGAGGCCAGATGCAGTGCATCCGAGTGTGCTGAGGGAGATGGCTGATGTGATTGCAGAGCCGGTGGCTATTATCTTTGAAAACTTGTGGCAATCAGGGGAGGTCCCTGACAATTGGAAAAGGGCAAATACAGTGACCATCTTCAAGAAAGGGAAGAAGGAAGAGGATCCAGGGAGCTACAGATCACTCAGCTTCACCTCAGTCCCCAGAAAAATCATGGAGCAGGTCTTCAAAGAAGCCATTTCTAAGCACCTGGAGGAGGAGAAGGTGATTAGGAACAGTCAGCATGGATTCACCAAGCACAAGTCATCCGTAACCAACCTGATTGCCTTCTACAATGAGATAACTGGCTCTGCGGATGTGGGGAAAGCAGTGGACATACCATACCTTGACTCTAGCAAGGCTTTTGATACGGGTCTCCCCCAACATACCTGCAAGCAAGTTGAGGAAGTACGGGTTGGATGAATGGACTGCAAGGTGGATAGAAAGCTGGCTGGACTGTCAGTCTCAATGGCTAGTAATCAATGGCTCAATGTCTAGGAACAGAGTGCCCCAGGAGTCAGTCCTGGGGCCAGTTTTGTTCAATAACTTTGTTAACTAATCTGGAAGATGGGATGGTTTGCGCACACAGCAAATTTGAGGATGACACCAAGCTGGGGTGTGTGGTGGATATGCTGGGGTGGAGGGCTAGGATTCAGAGTGACCTAGACAAACTGGAGGACTGGGCTAAAAGAAATCTTACGAGGTTCATCCGGAACAAGTGTAAAGTCCTGTGTTTAGGATAGAACAATCCCATACACCAGTACAGGCTGGGGGCTCATTGGTTGGGCTGCAGCTCGGCAGAAAAGAACCTGGAGGTTACAGTGAACAATACGATGGATATTAGTCAGCGTATGGATGGATATGGAGTTAGTGTGCCCTTGTTGCCAAGACGGCTAACAGCATACTGGGCTGCATTAGAAGGAGTGTTGACAAGACTGAGGAAAGTGATTATTGGTGAGACCACATCTGGAGTCGTGTGTCCAGTTTTGGGCCCCTCACTATAGAAAGGATATGGACAAGTTGAACAGAGTCCAGCGGAAAGCAATGAAAATGGTTCAGGGGCTGAGGCACATGACTTATGAAGAAAGGCTGAAGGAACTGGGTTTATTTAATCTGCAAAAGAGCAGAATGAGGGGGGGAGATTTGACAGCAGCCTTTAACCACCTGAAGGGGGGTTCCAAAGAGGATGGAGGTAAACTCTTCTCAGTGGGCATGTCTACGTGTGCCCCTACAGCACTGTCACTGTGATGTCACTCAGTACTTCCTAAATGACAGCACAGTAACAGCCCATACTGCACTGTGTCAGCAGCACACGGTTATTTTAGACACTACATCACCATAGCAATGCACTATAATGAGCGTGCGCATTGCTACAATGACATAGTTCTGGTGCCATAGTTTTTCCCCGCTGACAGTACATCGCTGTAGCACATTGCTACAGTGACATAGTGTCACATATAGATGCGCTTGGTGGTGACAGATGATAGAATAAGGAACAATGGTCTCAAGTTGCAGCAAGGGTAGTTTGGGTTGGATATTAGGAAAAATTCTCTCACTACGAGGGTGGTGAAGCACTAGAACACCAGAGAGATGGTGGAATCTCCATCCTTGGAGGTTTTTATGGCCTGGCTCAACAAAACCCTGGCTGGAATGATCTAGTTGGGAATGGTCCTGCTTTGAGGAGGGGGTTGGAGTAGATGACCTCCTGAGGTCCCTTCTAACCCTAATTTTCTGCAATTTTGTACCGCTAACGTTTCCTTGCAGAGCAAAGCAGCAGTAAGTAGCTCAAAGCAGCTTCCTGGCAGTGCCAGGAGATTACCTGAATGGTTATAATCCTGCATTAAATTGTGTGGAAAAAAAAGGGTAGAAGATAAAACAGATTCTGAAGCAGTGGCAACAGCTTTGAAGTTGTACAATAAAGCATGTTTTAGAGTAACAAAAGGTTCCCAAACAGCAGTGCTCACACTCATCATTTTTACCTTTCCAAACTTCTAATTTCTGATTTAACAGCAAGTATCTATTTGGCCCTTCGAAAGAATTGTCTCAGTGTATCCACGTTTTGACATCTTCCTCACAACTCCAGCAAATCTTCTGGGGCTTGCAAGTTAAATGGGAAAAAGTGAGGTGGCTGAGAAGGTCTATCCCTCTTTAAAAGAGCTGAAATCTTCAAATGTTCAGTGCTCTGAAGGAAAAGTCAAGTGGTATCCTAGAAGCTAGTAAGGTTTTAAAGCACTGTGAAGTACAGCTGCTCCTTTGCTTAATGTCATAGTTATGTTCTTGAAAAATGTGACTAAGGGAAACGATGTTAAGTGAATCCAATTACATCACAGTACTTACCTACTAGCAGGCAGTGGCCAAACATTATAATCAAACATTGCGCGACTTTGAACAAGTATGTTCTCAACTAGATCAGCAATGTAATAACAAAACAAGGTGAACTGGGACGACGTTAAGTTAAGAGTACTTGTAATCCTACTTAGCTGCTTTGTTAAGGGGAAAATATTGACTGTCTCTGAGAATATTATATTGTGAGAAAGACCCACAGGATGGGATAGAAGAGAAAAGTAGATACCGAAAGACATTTAGCATGCAATTGAACAAAACTGTTTCAAATATTATGTAACATTCATTGATCTTAATTAGTGGCTTGCCAGATATCTCAAGTCTAAGAAATATAATTTCTAAAAGGAAAGGATGCAGTAGTAAGAAAGGGGTGATACTGGTAAGATTTTGGTACTAGGCTCTAAAAAAAAAAAAAAAAAAAAAAAAAA